CATGGAGGCAGGGCGGGGCCTCTCGGGAGAGGAGTTGGGGGCTGGCAGCCTGTGGCTGGAAGGAAGGGGTGTGGCTTCATGGGTGTGGCCTAGAGCCGGCTGGACTCTGGGGGCGGGGCCTCAGTACACTGGCCAGTAGGGGGTGGACTCCTGAGAAGCTCCTGGGGTGGACAGGGTCAGAGCCTTACAGGGAATTTCGAGCTTAAGGGGCCAGTTTTCTGGGAGTGGAGCCTCTAAGGAGGGGCCCCTGGTTACGGGGGGAGGCGGGGGTCACCGAACCTCGGAGGCAGCCGTGCCAAGGGAGTGGACCCAGGACCCGGTCAGGGTGATAGTCCAGGCTGCTTCTGAGGAGCTCAGTTTCGGGGAGGGTCGGTGGCTGTCTCAGAATGCTGACTACACAGAATCAGGGTTACCCTCGGAGTTCAAGTCTGTGATCTGTTTGGACAAGCGCCTGGAGGCCTTCCGCCGGAAGTTCACCTGCCACTCCTTCGAAGCTGTCCCTTTGCTCCACATGCCCACGTGGTTCAGGTAGGACAGAGCCCCTGCGATGGAGCATGGGACTCTCAGCCCCGCCCCTTCTACCTGGATGACCCCTCCCTAACCCGACTGCAGCGAACCCAAGGTCCTGCTGGCTGTTCTCCCAGGGCCTGCCTCTTGTCCTGTGAGGCCCCGCCTTCTCTTAAGGACCCACCTCCTCCTCCTGAGGCCCCACATGTCTCCTGAGGTACCATCCCCTACCCCGGGAGGCCCCTCCTCTTCACCCCAAGGCCCCCCACCCTGTCTCCCAAGTTGGGCCTCACCAGCCCACAGCATCATAGCGCTGGCGCCCCAGCAGAGGTAGAAGGGGACCAGGTAGGACACCTTTGGCTTCGACTGCAATAAGTGACAGTCGATGATGAAGAGCGTGAGGCTGAGGAAGATCAGGAACCCTGCACTGGGGATGGGGCCAAAGAAGGACAGAAGGGTGGACAGAGGCCCGGGAGCCCCCAGAAGGAGGATCGAGAAACATTTCTTCCCATCGGGCACACACAGAAGGACTGCTGGAGAAGAGCGGAAAGGAGGGACCTAGGCCCTCCATACACACTCACTCACACACCCACAGCCCACCGGCCACAGAAGGAACAGAACAAGATATCCCCCCCCCTCCCCCCGCAGAGACCCC